ATGTCACACATGCTTTGATTTTTTTACTATTTGTTTGTTTGCCAGACCGTGTCACCGCAAGCTCGATAGATTAACTGGCGATGCAACTGGAGCACTTGAATGACTAGCAATAACAACCCTTGCTTCAGGTTGTTCGAAAGGGCAAAAAAAATCCAAGTGAAAAAAGAGTATTTAAATCTCACATGCTTGAATATGTTGATGATGTCCAGTCCTACCCCATTGACCTTTCCAACTGCGTTGTCCACCTTAACGTTCTATGTTATGCTCTCATCAAAACAAATGGTAATCCGTTCAGTGAACAGCTGTAAAACTCGCATAAATAGCAATGAGCTATTGCGGATTTAACCATACATTGTACCAAAAACTTCAAAAGTAAGGTTAGGTCTTAGGGCATCATTTCAGAAATCACGACTACTACTTACACCGTCATCGAAGTCACCCAGTTTGTTATTGAGACTTTGCAGGATTCCATCCAACTGATTGTTGAATTTGAAAAGGGCCACATGGACTTTTGCTATGCCTTCATTGATCTTGGTGATTTCAGCGTCGATGGACATCTGGAATAGTAACTGGTTTCTGCAGTACGAAGTAAGACAGGGCAAAGTCAATAGTCAGTCAGCACCAAGTCCTAAGCCTGAGTCTGCGCAAGGCATCAACTCTAGGAAGAGGTGAAGGGAAGGCATATCTAAACAGGACTCATGAGTGTTACGAAGCTTGTGCTTTGACAATGAAAAGATAGTTCACGAAGGAGAGTTAAAAAGGAAGATGTTTAAGGTTGAATGGAAAAGGAGCAAATTCACTTTGACTATCTTCCAGCAGCAAAATTCGTGGCTATCAGAAACAGTACTTGGAAGGCTAAGAGAGGAGCAACTTCTGATGGACAAGTTGTCAGTTGTGTCATTTACATTACTATTCAGAGGGCATGGACCACCAAAATTTGGAAATTCGTTCAACCACATCAAAAGGAATCAACAGATTTCCGCAAGAAAATCCAAATACTGAATCAATAGCTTCACATTAGACGGAGCATCATGAATTCATTATTCATACGCAGTCCTGGGCAGCATACAAAGTACTGATTAGAAGTGGGGACTGCAAGGAACGGCACCGATTATCGATTGAAGAGATAGAAGCGTGACACTACATGTGTGGGTTTAGGCTTATCTGTATGTGCCATGATAGGGAAAGGAATGGCGTAGAACTTATGATTCATTGCTTGGATCTGTCATCGCCGCAGAAGAGAACTTCTACGGCAATGTTATCGAGCTTTCGTTGTTCGATTGTTGCTGATTTCAATATCACAAGGAGTTATAGAGCAGGTCCTGAGCGAACTTTGACGGTGGACTTCGGTATAAAGGCATTTTTGGAAGGACGTTGAGCACTGGATTTATCATGTAATTGGGTCCACAATCATGGAAGGCTCCTCGTTTAAATTTGCAATTTTGATACTGCGAGTGCCTTTTGATCAAATAGAAGCCTTCACAGCGAAGAAACTGTGTCGTTGTACATGATCTGTACCCAATATAGATGCCTAAAGACCAGTAATGATAACTTGTCATCATCAACAACGGTCAGCAGCCTAACCATTCGGTGACGACCATCGGTAATAATTCCAAAACAAAGAGAAAAAAAGTAAGTGCAAAGCAATGGAAGACTCATTCGGAAAATATTTGGAAGATGAAATTTCTTTAAGCTTGAAAATGCAGCTATAAATTTTCATAGTGAATCCGTTAAGGAAAATGAGAGACCCTCAGAAACTCCGTCTTCCCCCTTTTTTGACTAGGCTGAGGCGTTCTCAGTCCCTCAATGAGGCCAATTCTTAACTCCCTTGATCTAAAAAACAGAAGAGAGCTATAATCAGGATTTAAGACGCCCCGAATCTAGCCTTCTGAAACACATTGAGGTCGTCTTTTCCGCTTGAATTTCAGGGACTCTGGCTAAGCGGAGACGGGTACAGGCGGCTTCTCCAAATGTTGCGGTTAGAAGTGTTGCTTTTCAACGTTTTTATCCAGTCAGCAACAGCACGCCAGTCTACATCAACCCAATCGTCATGTTCAATACCATACAACTATGCTGAGCCTTCCTCATATTTATATTCACCATACATACATCTATGCCAAGCCTTATTTACGAATGCAAGCTTCCTTTGCAATGAGACTACGTCAACTTGTAAAGTGGCCTCAAACACCGAATACACAATGTTAACCTTTCTCTCCTCCCTACCGCCTTACAGGCCTCTACCTCTGAGTCCCCTGGGTCTGATTTTACATATTTCATAGAAGTCAATGTGCAAAACATTCCAAAGCATTTGAGCCATGATGCACTCATATAATCTCCAAAAAAGCCTGCATGTTCATGGAAGGCTTATGAGAAGATAGGACCATACAGAGTTGCAAAATCCTGACTACAAAAAGTGCGATATGGGTACTTCGCAAACAATTTCGGTTACTCATCTGAGATGACCAAGTAAAGAGCTTCAGAGTAAGCAGCAAATAAAATATGCGTATGAGATTCGACCAGTCTGAAAAGCAAACAGAGTGGCTCAATTTCGCCTGTTTTGTCCCATGCGCGCACACTTCTCTCCTGTTTGTGCAATGAGCAAACTCGATGACTGATCGCACTCACGGTCCTCATCGAAGCAAAAAATTGAGGAAAAACAACTGCTAGTATGACTTCTTCATTTATAAGCAATAAACAACATTATGAGTAATTAATTCTACAAATGTATCGCTGAGAGCGTGCTAAACGTAATGCTACCAGCAGCAATTAGGTTTTCACTATTAGTTATGATTGATTGATAAGTTGAAGAGAAATCCCTATGCTATTTAATCGAGGATGCCATGTTCTATCCTCCAATAAAATAGCTCAGAAGCGCTAGGCGCTGGCAATGCTTCTTGGAAGCTTTCATTGGCGATTTGTGGGCGAAACATCGGCCTCACATCAGACGAGACTCGGACCCGTGCCTGTCTGTCCGGGGAGTCCGGTATCTTCTCCCCGAAAACTGCGGCGCGTCTGAGTGGGTATTCAGGGAGAAGTTCCGGCACCTCTGTCCGGGCACCGTAATCCTTTTCCCTTACTCTACAAAGCCCCCTTTGCCCTTGCCTTCATGACTTCATGGCTTTTATGTCACCACTCGGATCGCCCGGTTAACGCCGTCCTCCTTTTTACCATTCAGATGTGTCTATTAATGAGTTTTCCATTCTCTACAGTGGCGCCATCAGTTGAGAATCCTAGATTACTGGCCTACGGATAAGTTTTGTCCCGAATGATATCGAAACAAGGTATAACCGTGATTCTTCGTGATTCCAAACCTTGCTAGGTGGCGGTCGTAATCGAACAGCGAGAAATGAAATCCATCTCCTCATAATGAAGTGCTTGGGATCGCCCCATCATTTCAATTACTTCACTTACTCACTCACTGCACTTTTTGTCATTCTGCTCTAGCATTCCGTCTTACTAAATATCAGAGGGTCAAAGCTAGATTGTAATACAGAAGAACAAAAGGCCAGTATTAGCAAATTTGAATACATATATATATATATATATATATATAACTTAAAGTAATTCGTTTCGCCTCTGCCCAGACGAATCACTTCGTTTCTCACCAACCCCCGAGGCCCATGAGTGATTTTAAAAAAAGTGGGACCAACAATAGAACGACATAGACGAGAGGTCAAATAAGATCAAATGTTCCAGTACTAGAGCATTTCCCGCCAAGAATGTTTGTATAAAACCCAGTTAGGTTATTACACAGTACACTGCCATCCTACACGTCAACAAATTCTGCTTGCATATTATTCTCGTCTCAACGTCCGTGGTTAGTTCATTTTATTACTTTCCATAACTATGTAGCTAATTCACAATCAAATGCTACAAGTGTTGTTCAGAAAGCTGGCTATTTCAACCAGAGCCAAAAGGAAAGAAAGGAAGAAACACAGGAAACCGTTAATCGAGCCGCGCTTTCAGAGAGAATAAGAATAGTATCAGTTCCAAATCCAGATGAGCTACCACTGAAGGAAGTGGCAACTATGTTTTTGAACGAAATAATAATGTGAGTTGTGTGAACACTCATATGTCTACCTGTACAGTACCATCAATTAAGGTGGCGACCACCCTAGTGATGCTAACACTCTTTGTTCGATATGGTCAGCTGGGGATAGTAGTGACACTTCTTCGTTTCGTGTAATTGTTATAATTTTTATAGTTATAATGCGAATAGAGGAGTGCTGATATTATATTCAGGCTGAAATGTCATCCACATTCTGGGATTTCTACTTGGATGAAGGCAGAAAGAATTTGAACGGCTGTAATAGGAGGAGTATGACTAATATAAAGATAATACTAGGTCAAACCGTGGATGTTGGGGATACAGAAAACTCGAGGTGATGCTAGTTAGAAAGAATGGAATCCAGTTAAGTATTGCCTAAATAGTATTTATATTAATATTAATAGTATATTTTGCAGTTCGTATCTCCGGAAAAGAATAAGAAGTTTCTTATAGACACTGATAGAATACCTCCAGAGATACTAATTGAGAATGGTGTTATTATTGCGAAAATGACCTCAATGAACAGGTAGTATTAGAAATGCGATTATGACGTGGATAAGTTCTTACGAATTTAATGTTTATACATATGTATGTTTAGAAAATAAGGTGTACTGAGCCAGCAATAAAGCTGGGTCGGTCATGTGAGGATTGGAATGAAGTTCCCATTGAACTAATGCTAGAAGAAAATGGTAGGCTTACTATATAAGAAGTAACCAACTTGAAATTGTATCGAAAATAAAGTTGACTCACTTGTTGAGGATGGGAAACTATTTTAGGGTTAATTCCATTTAGAAACGTTCCTTTCAGAATGCATAAACCAGGATCATAAGCAGCCTTTCATCTCTGCTAATGCAGTAAAGAACAGAAGACACTGAAATTTTCGAATGAGTAGTGTGCCGAATTCAAATTCGAAAACAAAATTGCAGGAGAAGACGAGCCGAAGGCAGCGCATGAATAATATGGAGGAAACGATACAGCAGAAGGTGCCAAAGCGCTCTGCTAGTGACATTTAGAAAAAGGCCTGTAGAGCACTGCATATAGATGGAAGTGGAGACGGAGTGGCAGTACACAGATATGTTTGTAAGAAAAGTGTATTTGTTACAATTGAGTATTGCTAGCTATATTACTTGTTTTTCGTGCTTTATGTCAGTTAGATAAATAGATATGTTAGATAAATATAACCATGATTTGTGAATATCAGTTAAAACGTCAATCGACGCATGGTGACCATCGGTCCAAAAATCACCGGTGACAAACAAGGCTATTGCCTTAACCAATATCAAAAAAGTAAACCCGTTTAACGGAATTGATGTCAGCATACCAAAAGCATTACAATTTGATTGGTAAGTGGTTCTTGTTCTCTGTTGGTATCAGTTCCTGTCAGAGAGTACCTAAGACCCTGTCGCATCCTACATCATCCATTAACGGCGAACAGCGTTACAGACCTAGTGGCTCTAGCCTTCGATGGCTGTAATTGTCACCAGGCTTTCTCCATTCAACGTAGGTCTC